TTTTACCATTAAGATACTCTATTTTCATTTGTATTCAGTGCCATCAGCTACAAATTGATAGCTAGCAGTTAGCAAATAAATGCCTACGAACTTGTAGCTACTTAACATTTTTATCCCAACAAAGGATTTTGGAAGGATGGATAATTTAGATCTTTGAGGCTCAAGTATAAATAAACAGAAACTGCTTTATAAATCCCACCCTGCTGTAGTTTAAGATTGTACTGCAAATCTGACAAATGATTTGTGAAAGAGAATGATGAACCCTTATTACCAAGACACTCTTTAACTTAAGCCAAAACAAGATTCCTGGGTAATTTTATATACACTATAAAGATTGATGGCATGGGACTAGCCTGGCAGCCTTCAAATGTTTGACTGGATCGGAAATGGCATTCAGGCATGATTAAAGATTCAACTGGGCTTCTCAGAAATTCTTTCTCCTGTGTATTCATCATTCTAACTCACTGCCTTTGTTACAGGTTAAAGATGGTTGACCCCCAGCTTTGGTGATTAGCACCACATACAACTGACAGTCTTCTGATTAAAAAAAAAAAGTGTTTAGGTTGCCCAGACCTTCTATCATTGTTTATAAGTTTTCTTTTTAAATCACAATAGATCATGGACGTTTGTGACAACTGACAAGCTCATTGTTTAAGACTTTTTTAATGGAGTTGTTAACATTAATTCTTTTATATGGTACTTTAATCTGTTTCAAATTATGTACTGACATGGCACAAACCGCTTTGGCATTGAAAGTCATTCAACGGTGATTAAAGTGCTCTTTTTAGCAGTTTAAGAATGTTTCATCTTGTATCAGCAGTATGGAATTGTTTACTAATTAGATTCCCTGACATCCTGTTTTGTCTTATGCTGATGATATGTGAACCGGAAAGCTGATGAGCAAAAAATTAAAACTTGTTATTAAACTGTCATATAATGGCTTACCATATAAAGGTGTCACTCAAATGACTGTGTTGATGAAGGATAAACAATGTTTGCTGAGGAAAAAGTGTCCTCTCAATCCGTTTAAATATGTGTGGCTGTGTTGGCATTTTGAGGGCTCTGCATTATAAACCCTTCCTAAAGCACTTTGGGTTCCCGTTGGATTTAAAGGGATACTTTGTCCCCTCAAGGCCTTCTCACTCAGTAGGGCAGCATGGTCTAGTGGCCTGAGCACAAGACAAAGAGCCAGGAACTCATTAGTTCAAATCACTTTTTTGACACTGGCTCCTTCTGTAGCTTTGGGCTAGGCCTCTGTGCATATGTCCACACTGCAATTAAACGCCCATGTCATCTGACTCGGCTATGGGGCTGTTTAATTGCGGTATAGATGTTTGGGCTCCTGCCTCCCCATGGAGCCCAGAGCCCAGGCTCCAGCCCAAGCCCGAACATCTACACCACAATTGAACAGCCCCATAGCCCAAGCCAGCTAACATGAGCCAGCCATAGGTGTTTAATTGCAATGTAGACCTGGGGTGTGTCTCTGTTTCCCCACCTGTTGAAATGTGGACAGTAATATTGGTGTGCCTGTAGGGATGTTCTGAGCTTTAATTACTTTGTGTTAGTGCGTTGCTCTGAAGATGTCAATGCTAAATATTATTAGTTTCACCCACCACGTTGTTTGCTTCTGTGGGATAAATATGATTTAACTTCCCTTCTTAAGGACAAAAAAAAAGTATTGTTCTCTGGACGATAAAGCTGCTGTGCTCATTTCTCCAGAACAGCCCACGTAATGAGCACAACATTTAGAAGTTGGTGAAGTAGCACTTGACCCAAAAGCAAATGGCACATTGTTCATAGTAGGAAACAATGGAAGCTTGAAATGGTAAAATATTGCAGTCTTCCAGCTGCACGTCCTTTATCTTCACTTTAAATAAAGATGCCCGTGCAACAGCACTCATGTTGTGTTCACTTGGAGCTTAGCTTGTGTCAGGTTTACAGGATCGGACCCTGAATTGGTATCTACCAGTTACATTATGGGATATTTGGCCCCTATTAACTACTGAAGATTTTGTTAAAAAGTGAGTTAAAAAACCATAAACTATAGTAAACTTCCATTTTATGAATGAGCTCATTTCTGACTGAATCTAGCCTGAGCTAGCCAGAAAGCAGCTTTTCAGCCACAGTATAGTGATTAGTCTTTGGCATTGAGCACATAAGTTTTATTTGACTCTTATGAAAAAATCCTATGGGATTGAATACAAAAACGATAACTTTCTATGGGTGTTTTGAACAACTGTATGCAATTGGATAGAATGATCATACCTAGGCTGTGCAACTCTACAGAGAGCCTATAATTATCTATAAATTATATTACTTTTATTGTAATTGCTGTAGAACCATATTACATTGTGGTAGGTATTATTGCTACTGGATTCTACCAAACACATTTATAAAGGCATTGTTTCCTGAAATAAATGATTTGGTTTAATAAAAACATTTTAATATTTAGCAATTTAACCTGAAAAGGTTCTTTTGGTCCAGAAATAACGATCTTATTTTTCCTCATTGTACCAGCCAATATTGGTGTTGTTCCAACAGACCCTTTCTAAGTCCTCATTCTCAGCTTATTTCCATTTTGAGTGAAGAATATGGACCCTAAAAACAATTTAATATGCCTTTCTTTGCCATGCTACATAATTTGAGAACAAAGGAGAAACCCAACTTGAGGAGAATTCAAGCCTTTTAGACTCAAAGCTGCCATTGAAAGATGAGAACATTAAATATGTGGTTTGGTTGCCACTCCACCACTGGCTGATTTGTTAGTAGCATTGTGAGATTCCACAGTTATAACCATTGGAACCGAGAGAAGAAAATAATTGGGAAGAAAAGAGAGGGAAGCCCATTCTTGCCCCCTATCAAATCTCATTTCAGTAACATCTGTTTTCTCTTTAGTTACCTTTTCTATCATACTCAATAGCCTCTCTATTCTGATTCTTAATTAGTTGCCACATAAAGGACTATGATGTACATAAATAATCACAAGATGCTGGATAAACTGTATTGTTTTTAAATTAGAGCTGCGCACACGGTTTCGCAATGAGCTCCATCCTATTATTTCTAATTATAGCTGGCAAAGCAAAGTGGTTTCTTGCCCTCTTTACAGCTTTTCTGACAGAGCTTTGCCAATCCTGATGATGCAATATCCCACCACATGCACATACACACTCACTAAAAAGTTATGGCCTCAACTGTTAATCCCTCAGCTTTCCATCAGAAAAATTCAAAGCGATCAATTTTCCTCATTGGAGCTTAGATTTTTGAATAATAATAAAAAAAAGCTGCCTCCACAGCTCTAATCTATTTGTTATATTTCTTAGTGATTTATAAGATGCTAGAAGTAGGTCTTAGAAGGATGGCAAAACCACTGGAAAGCACTGAATCTCTGCAAATTAAGAACTACACTCTCTGTGCGCAGTAGATAAACATTCTCACACAGCAGTGGTGACAGCTGCCACAGTAAAATTGTTGACCAAAGATATATGGACAGTTTGGGCACAGATCCCATTAGCACTTTACATGATAGGCCTTAATTGGAATGTCCGGGTTAATATTGTACAAGAGATTTTAAAGATATAAAATACGTCAGTCTGCATTGCTTATCAAAACTAGGAAGTGGGGGGTATTAAGTAGTTTGGTAAGTAGGTTTTTTTTGTTCTAAAGGAAAATCGGGAAGGTTTTACATGACGTGTGTTGCTTTTAAATCTTTGTGTTTGTTTCACATAATCCCAGCTGGCCAGATCCTGAAGTTCTTACTCAGGCAAGATTCTCACTGAAGTTGCAGAAAGTTTTGTCTGAGTAAAGATGGAATAGACCTTGTATTTTGAGTTTGCTTTAAGAGGTGCAAAAAAAAGAAACAAGGTCACCAAGGTGTATTCAAATTGAGTTCCAGATAGTAATGTAGTGTCTTTAACACTTCCATCCAATACCCTTAACACTGTCATGCTGTGAGTTACCTGTGAGTTGCAATGCTTTTTACTGGTATTTTAATAAGACACATGGCTTCATAGGACCACAGTCAAAATTAGAACTATAATATGTATTTTTTTTTTAATTCTAGCAACAAGGAGCTGCCACAACTGTCTACTGTGCCACCGCTCCAGAGCTGGAGGGCCTGGGAGGAATGTACTTCAACAACTGCTGTCGCTGTTTGCCATCACAAGAGGCCCAGAATGAAGTGACGGCTGCAGCCTTGTGGGAGCTAAGCGAGAGACTGATCCAAGAACGAATTGGCAGGCAGTCCAAATAACAGGGAGTTTTTGTAAGGATCAAAACACACAGAGTATGTGCACGCTAGAAAACTGCCAACTCTGGAGCCTTTCCAATCTTATCATCTCGAGGGTTTCCATATACCTCAGATACAGATTAGCTAGTGTTAAATGAAATAATATCAGTCACAACATAGTGAAAAATGCTAAGTACTAATGGGAAGTGGGGAATACTGTGGGTTAAAGGGACAATATCGCTTTCTGGGGTTTAGTTAGTCTTGGTTCTCTTTCTTTTGGTTATAGCCCGTTCAAAGTGTAATTCAAGGAGGCATCTTTTGAGTTATTTTAGAAGAGCAATGCAAAGTATATTTTTTGACGCTTTGATTAATGGCTACATGGATAGCCCAAAAATAACATGGGATTTCCTCTATATTGTGGAAATTATTTGCTGTTAGGTCAGGAGATGATAGCGCTGTTTATTCTTTTCCCTACTAAGTTTTTATTGGGTGTGGCAAATAAAAAACAAAATGAATAGTAATAAAGAAAGCAAGCTTCCCTGCCCTTGGCCTCTGGCTGCAAATATAACTGTGCTGTCTAGAAAAGGAAGGTGCAAGAAGCCATTTGAACAGAAATGGTAAAGTCAGATTTACTCCACTGCTAATTATTAAATATGCAGGTTTTCCTTAAAAGATTATGATAAAAGGTACGTTGCAAACCATTCCCTAAATATTGTTGCTTTAGGAAAAGATGATGTTGTCTCCTTAAGAACACACAGGGTGTAATCAGGGGGTTTAAAAGTTGTTCCTTCCATTTCTTGGTTCACAGTTTTAAAGAGTTTGTTTTGTTGTCTTTGAAGGTTCACAGTTCTCCAAATACTGCATCCTGTTCAAAATTTCTTTTTTTCTTTCAATTTAAATTTAGTAAAAGAACATGCTTGAATATTGTCACCTGAAGAGAAAGTTTGTCTTGTTTCTGCAAATGTTTTAGTTCCATTTTTTTTAGAAAAGAAAACTTGAGGAAAAATAAAGAGCTTCTTGTCGATGCCATGAAAACGCTGTTTTTTTTCTTGTTTCTTTCTGAGTTCATATTTTGTTTTTTGTGCTTTGTAGCTGTCTTCATGCCAAAAAGTTGTCTTAAGCCATCAGCATTCCAGCATCATTTTTCTATAAACAAAACAGAAATAAAGATTGTAAATAGAACCTTAGTTCACTCCATTATTATTCATGTTATTGATAATTGTTCTGTCTTCTATGAGTTTCCTCCTCTATATTCATGAAGTGGCTTAGGTTTGATTAGCTGGTGGATGTGTGTTAAAACCTAACAGCACACTGGTCAGAAATAAATAGCCTGGTATCCTCCCATCATAATAAATGCCCATTTTAATAATAATAATAATACACTTTGTTTTGAGTGCTTTTATTTTCAGCTTGTGTGTAATCCAGTCCAGGATAGAGAAGACTAAAACGTTGCAGCGCTGCACAAGGGCTAGAGAGGGCAGTAGAGGTGCCCCCCCTTTTTGTGCCCACATACAGGTGCTGATTACATTCCCTGAGAACAAACCTAGCACCAGCTGTAGACATGGGGAGCTGAAAATGGGGGTATTGCCCGCCTTCTACACCAACCAGCAGAGCTGGCCCTATATGGGGAAGCAGATGGCACACCTTTTCAAAGGGTGTGGCAGCAACCATACTCTCCCAGTGGTATTTGGCCAGCTCAGCTTCATCCCCAGACCAGTTCTCCAGCCCCCATATCATTGCCTTCCTTCGTTTCCCAGACTGGTCCCAGAAGAACTGATGGATCTTGGCTGTTTCTCTACCTATGTCATGACAATCTCAAAGGGGCCATGCAGAGTACAGGAACTCCATATTGAGGTCATGCAGTATTTATAAACCCTGCATAATCCACAAAGTACATGGAAATGGCTTTCAGTAAGTAAATAATTCTACACCTTCCCCACAAACTATTTGAAGAATCAATCCCACCATAAGTTCGGTGTTTCTAGGGCAAGTCATTTTGTAGTTATGTGAGCCAGAACAAACATGAGGAACATAGTCTAAACATGTGATCACCTCCTTTTTTTAATGCTTCATATTTCCCAAATGCCTTGTCCAGTTTGCATCAAATTTGTCACATAAATTAAACCCTAGCATTAAATCATGCCTGAAAATTTTCAGGGAGATGGGTTTAGTTTTGGAAAAATTGAGTTCGGGAGAGGGTCAAAACCATTATTAAAATGGACGGCTACTTATCAGGGGAATAGAAACTATGTAGCTTCCGTCATATACTATCCTAACAATTGCATTGGCTTTCTAGTTCCTGGCAAAAAGGAGCAATCCAATAGAATACTAACAGAACTAAGACAACAGAGAAACACTGTGTCATAGGATGACATTTTTGGGTAAGTTATGAGGTGTAATTAAACATTACTGAGTGCACTGATATTCTTCCTAAGGCCTTGGGCCTTACACTCCCACTTAGGCAGACATTAATAACTAATAATGCACACCCTGTCGTTCTTCACTGCTGAAATATTGTATGCTTTTATGAGAATTTGGTACTCAGAAAGATTGCCTTCCTTCAAAGAATATCTGTTTTACCTCTATGTAGTGGTCCACATTGGAGAGAAAAGCCTGTTTTAATCTCACAGATAGCTATATCCGTCATCAGTATGAAGGCACTGCCATGCATTTACTCTGCTGAACAGGTTCATCTGACTCCTATGCCTATGGTTAACAAATGCTTAGTGACACTAATATGTTACTGTGTCCAGAATTTGGATGTCAATGTTTTTTCCTCTCTGTTTTCTGAGCAAAGCAAGCCCATGTAAAAATAAACTTCCTTTTTGTTTTTCCTCAAGCAAAGGGCATTCTGTTGGCCCTCAGTGGCAGAGCATCAGCGCGGGGCACTGGACTTGATGACCTCTCAAGGTCCCTTCCAACCCTACACACACGCACACTTATAAACAGGCTGGCTAGCAGCACATAAAGAAGATGCAAGGGAGATGCAAAAGGAGCAAACATTTTTAAAACATGATCTCCATGTTGATGAATGATTCATGGCATAGATAATTCTAAGCCATTGGCTTTGAAAATTGTACTGTATGCTGGTATAAATTTTGGTGCAGTTGCATTCAGCTTTATTTATTGACCAGGTTATATTTTTTTCCAGATGATTTACTGAAATTGATGTATACTTAACTAATTGTAATGAACACTGGAATCAATCTGTTAGGGAGTAATATTTGCAGACAAGTGCTCTTAGGTCGAATACAAAAGCAAACTCTATAGACCTTAACTCGTATTATGCCAGCAAAACAAAAAAAGGACTGAATAAAGAAAAATAGATGGTGTTACTTATACTTTTGGAAACCAGCCAGCATGCTTTTTGCAAACACCTGGTAGTGTTAATAGGCACTTTCCATTTACCTTCATAAAAACACATATAAAAGGGGATAAAGAATGTTTTTGAGATGTATTGATAAATATGTACCAATTTATTTGCTATGATTTTCTGATGTAGGGGCAACCAAGAGACTATAAACCGGAACACTTTCTACTGCCATAGTGAAGAACTGTTCACATGTGGTTCTATCTTTGTCCTATTCTTTCATTCTGAGGTCAACATGTCCCTTTTCAATCCCATGATATTTTGGGGACCAGGGCCGGCTCCAGGCACCAGCTTAACAACAGGTGCTTGGGGCAGCCAAGGGAGAGGGGCGGCACCTGCGGCAATTCGGGGGCGGCAGAAATGCTGGAGCCAGCCCTGTTGGGGACGAATCAATAAAGGGAAATCAGGCCTCACCACTCTATTAAGAGTTCAACAAGTATGTGGACAAGGGTGATCCAGTTGATATAGTGTGCTTGGACTTTCAGAAAGCCTTTGCCAAGGTGCCATATCAAAGGCTCTTTAAGCAGTTCTGGGATAAGAGGGAAGGTCTTCTCATGGCTGATTAAAAGATAGGAAACAAAGGGTAGAAATAAATAGTCAGTTTTCACAGTGGAGAGAGGTAAATAGCAGGATTCTCCCAAGGATCTGTACTGGGACCACTGCTATTCTGCATATTCATAAATGATCTGGAAAAGGTGGTAAAGGTGCAGACAATATAAAATTACTCAAGATAGTTAAATCCAAAACTGACTGTGATGAGTTACAAAGGGCTCTCACAAAATTGAGTCTCTGATCTGGAGTTTTGTTGCCCAAAGTCAGTGCTGATAAGTGTAAAGTAATGCACATTGGAAAACATAATCCCAACTACAGAAACAAAATGATGGGGACTAAATTAGCTGTTGCAATTCAAGAAACAGATTTTCATGTCATCTTGGATAGTTCTCTGCATTTTTGCCTGCCGCTGCACACTGAGCAGATGTTTTCAAACAGACTACTAGGAACTATTAGGAAAGGGATTATAAGAAGACAATAAATATCAAAATGCCACTATATAAATCCATGGTGTGCCCACACCTGGTATACTATGTCACCCCATCTCAAAAATATATTAGATCTGGGAAAAGTTAGAGAGAAGGGCAACAAAAATGATGAGGGGTATGGAACAGCTTCCTTATGAGGAGAGATTAAAAAGATGGTAACTGTTCATTTTAGAAAAGAGATGACTAAGTGGAGATATGATAGAAGTCTATAAAATAATGACTGGTGTGGAGAAAGTGAATAAGGAAGTGTTAATTAGCCCTTTATATAACACACGAGCTAGGGGGTCATGCTATGAAATTAATAGGCAGCAGTGTAAGACAAAAAAAGAGGAAGTACTTCTTCCCACAACGCACAGTCAACTGGTGGAACTCATTGCCTGGGGATGTCATGAGGCCACGTCTATAATTGGATTAAAAAAAGAATTAGCTAAGTTCATGAAGATCTATCTATCAATGGCTATTAGCCAGGATGGTCAGGGATGCATCCCCATGCTCTGCGTCCCTAAAGCTCTGAATGCCAGAAGTGGGGACTGGATGAAAGGATGGCCCATTTGATGCTTGCCCTGTTTTGTTCATGCCCTATGAAGCATTTGGCATGAGCCACTATTGGAAGTAGGATACTGGGCTAGATGGACCATTGGTCTGACTCAGTATGGCAGTTCTTAGGTTCTTACTCATCCCTGATCAAAGTAATTGGCAAAATGGCTAATCATGCAAAATATGTTCTTATGTGAACATAACTCACCCGCTGATAGATGATTGCAGTTGCTGTGATCATCTTCAGGCAGGTGAGTAAGCAACCTCCTCTGACACCAAAGAACTGACCGGCCGGAAGCGTGCATCGGAGATCAGGTGAAATCCTGGCCACATTGAAGTGAATCACTACAGTCATTGCCATCAGTGGAGCCAGAATTTCATCCATGTCCAGTAGAATGAAAGAATTACTACTGTGGTACACCTGAAACCTACCTGCAACTAAAGCGTGTAAGTACCAGGAACCAACACAGAAGTGGTTCTCCAGTGGCCACAATGTCTTGGTTTGCTTAGCTTTTTTTTATGGGACAGAAGACACATTTAATCTCTACTGAGGCCAGGTAAGCGATTGTATTAGAGAACGTCCTTCCGGCAACACTGCAATAATTTGACACGTCAAGGTTGAATAACACTTTGTCAGGGGGTTAAGCTCATGACCTTTCAAGCCAAGCACACTTATACTAACTAGTTTACCATTGGAATGATCAATATCCTGTAAGTGAGAAAGTCTAGACTGATCTTCTATTGTCCCTTTGCTTTAGTATTGATAATGATATCTGGCTGGGGAAAAATTGCCTGTACATTACACACTCCGTATTTGTCTTGACAACATTCTATAGGATTACATTGTCATAATTTCAATGGCAGCCTATCAGCATTTCAAAGTGTGCATATATCCTGAATTTACACTACAATCATTATTTCTCCATATGTATGTTTATTATTTATCGTCCATTTTCTGGTTTAAAAATCTTTGCCAAGATTCATGGCACAACTCTCTGCAGTTTCTAATCAAACACTGTAAAAAAACCTGACACTTTTCATTCCAGGTCTGTTGTCTGGTTTAAGTATGTATTTTACTTCAATTTAAGTATGTTTCTGGCTTGGTATGTATTTTTTTTTCAGTCAGGGTTCCCAAACTACAGTGAAAGCTGAGGACATGATGCCTTATTGGAACACATCTTTTGGAGTCAAGGAGCTCT